CCCCTGTGCGTTCATGGCCGCCAGGGTCCGGTCACACCCCTGACCCCATAGATGGATCCCTGACCCCATAACCCCATTCCTGACCCCATAACTCACTGTGTGACCCCATAACCCTATATCTGACCCCATACCTTACACCCCTGTGCGTTCATGGCCGCCAGGGTCCGTCGGAGCGCGGGCTGGGGCGGCTCCAGCAGCTCCACCTGGGTCCTGACCGCGCTCTCCACGTAGGGCCCCACCAGGACGTAGCTCTCGCCCCACTCATCGGCCGTCACCCGCGCCTTGGTCTGCAGCACCGTGTAGATACCGCCAACTGCGGGGAAAAAAAACCTCAAATTGGGATTAGGAATCCTAAAAAACCCCAAATTGTGATCCAGGATCCTAAAAGACCCCAAAAAACCCCATCAGGATCCCAAAAAACCCCAAAAAACCCCAAAATCCTGATTCGGGATCCCGAAAAACCCCAAAAACCCAATCGGGATCCCAAAAAACCCCAAATTGGGATCGGGGATCCCAAAAAACCCCACAGCTCTGCAGCACAGTGTAAATACCGCCAACTATGGGGAAAAAAAACCCAAAATCCTGATTCAGGATCACAGAAAACCCAAAAAAACCCCAAAATCCTGATCCGGGATCCCAAAAAACCCAAAAAAACCCCCAAAAATTCAAAAAAACTCAAAAAAAAGCCCAAAAAACCCCAAATCCTGATTCAGGATCCCGAAAAACCCAAAAAACCCCAAAATCCTGATTCAGGATCCCGAAAAACCCCAAATCCCAAATCCTGATCCCGAAAAAACCCCAAATCGCACATGGAATCCCATAAATCCCAACCTCTGCAGCACCATGTAAATACCACCCACTGTGGGGAAAAAAACCCTCAAATTGGGATTGGGGATCCCAAAAAACCCCAAAAAACCCCAAAATCCTGATCCGGGATCCTGAAAAACCCCAAAAACCCAATCAGGATCCCAGAAAACCCCAAATCCCAAATCTCGATCCCTTAAAACCCCAAAATCCCACCTAGGAACGTTTAAGTTGTGACTGGGGATCCCGAAAAAAACCAAATCCTGATTTGGGATCCCCAAAAAAACCAAAAAACCCCAAAATCCTGATCCGGGATCCCGAAAAACCCCAAAAAAACCCCAAAAAAAACCCCAAATCCTGATGGGGGATCCCAAAAAAAACCCCAAAATCCTGCTTGGGGATCCCCAAAACCCCCCAAAAAACCCAAAAACCCCCAAATCCTGATCTGGGGGGTGAAATCCTGATCCGGGATCCCAAAAAAACCCCAAATCCCACCTGGGACCACCCCAAATTCCCCCAAGGACC